GAGGGGGTAACAATGTTCAAGAGGAAGTGTACTCATAACCTCACTCATGTAACTGTAACCCTCTGTATAGTAGCTTTACAATAAAAAAAAAAATAAATAAAAAAAAAAAAAAAAAAATGACAGCCAGATGCACTTCTGGTTTTATCTTGGGAATCAAAGCTCAAAGAAGCAAAGAAGAGTGTTCCACATCACAGAGCTAGTTAGCAAAAAATAGGTCATGTGTTAAACCATCACATTTAAATATTCGTTTTTTTAAGTCAGCACGGTCATTTCCACATAGAAAATGCTGACCTAATGAGCAGCATCAATTTCTGAATAATAAGGGCGGCTAGAAAATTCAGGTTGTTCTCTGATTTTTTTAAACTTTCTTAAGAAAAAGTGATGCTTTTTTTTTCTCACCCTTTGGTATCCTTTCAGAGCCCTTTGGAATTGTTGCATTTTATCCCTTATGTGATAAAAATCAAAGCTGTATTTTGAAAAGTGACGAGGCTGGAATTTTTCTGATGTGAGGTACTGAGAACACAGCTAATAATAATCCCTTAGGAAACTTCTGACTTAAAACAAGTCCCACAAGTGGCCAAGGGAAACAAAGCCAGGGAGCCTCTCTAAAGCTTGGAGGATATTTTTTTCTTTCCCTCCTGTTAACAATGGTCTGCAAACGTTCATGACCACATTCAGGAAAAGTGCTGCTAATGAGCCAGTCCACCTTCCCTTGCTTCTTCCGCTTTGGGAATTCACCAGAATTGGCCCTTTTTGTAACCACTCTCAGTGGTTAGCCCTTAAATCCCAAAAGAGAAAAACGGAAGCTGCACGATAAGGTGCTGCCAAACAGGAAGCAAATTAAAATAAAAACCTCAGCTCATCCAGGGAGCCCAAAAAGGGGGAGCAGCTGGACTTGGGCATCCACTTCAATCACAGGAGGAAAAGAATCTACCCAGACCTGTGCTAATCCCCTAGCGGGGATTCCTTTTGCTTCATCAAAAACTATTTACTTTCTTATGTGGGAGAATTTAAGACCTAATTCAATCTGTTCCTTACATTTGCCCAACATGGGTGCAGACGGGTCTTCCATCTTTCTAGCTCACATAGAGAGGCTGCCATGACTAACTGCAGTAGGATTTAGATCAAAAGTCTGGTGCCCATGTGTATATGAGCACCGGCCATGGCGGGTCTATCAATATTTCCTCCAAATCAGGTAGCCATGGCTCACTAGATATAGAAGAGCGGTCCTCTGTGTCAAAACCACCGAAAAAAACCAAAACCCCCACACATTTAACTACCAGTTCCTGGGATACTCTTGATCTACAGTCAAAGGAAGGACTAACCCTGAGGAATATGCAGTTTTAAATGACACACTCAGGTGACTCTCCTTTATTCCAGAGCCTGTGGAGGACAGAATCCTGAGTTCCTATCACACTCCGATGTTTTAAAATGACTATAAATCGAGTATGCATTTCCAAGGAATACATTTAGAAGGAACCAGACCAGTTTTTCCTGAAATATACTTTTTTTAAGCCAAAGAATGCCATTCTATGCTATGATGGATATTAGTTTTCTCACACAATTTTGAGTATGCAAGAAAAATGCTTGTGTTCTACACAGGAGACCAAATCTCCATCAAGATTTCCACTTTTTAAGTCTCTATAAAGCTAGTAACAGGTGTTAGAAGAGCAGACAGTTCTGTGGGATTAGATGTACTCAGCTCTTCAAAGAATAAACACTTAAGAGGTAAAATAAGTCCTTTGCTCTATAGAGGGAGGAGAATAGAGGCCTTCCTGCCCTGCAGCCAGGAACAGGCTACTGCGAGATCTCCCGCTGAGTCAGTTCTGAGACTCTATCATAAACCGTAAAGTGACTCCTCCTCAGATAGAGTCTTGCCATCCGTCACTACAGCCGGTGCTGCTTTCTACCACACGGAACAGTCTCATGTCCACAGGGTGGTCTTGGGTAAAAATCGAACATTTGTCTCAGGGACTTTGACATCCTCTTTCTGGCTCTCTCCCTCCCAAAGATATCCTTTCTCCAGAGGGGCGAGAATGAGTAAAGTCAGGCAGAGAAAGCACCTACTTAGAGGGTGTGGAGATGAGGACAAAGGACTATTTCCAGGAAAATAGATGATGAATTGGGCGTGTGGCGCCCCAGAGAGGAAATGGCCTGTCCTGGCCGTGCGGCCTGGGGGGTGCGCCTGGGTGATATCTTCCATTTAGGAGACGGCTCCCATGAAACGGAGATGCAGCCAGGCTGAGAACAGCTTGGAGGACTCCACGCGGCCTTCACACATCGCCATCAACCAGTTTCTTGGAGGAAAGTTGGAATTAGAGGGAAGGGACACTATTCAGTACCACAGCGTACCTCAGATTCACTCCATTTCTTTCTGAACTCACTTCCATCTCCCTAGCCTCAATGAATGAATGCCCTGCATCAGATCTCCACAGGACAGGGCAGACAAAGAACTTCTAGAATCCGGTTGCTGTCTCCCTCCTGGGGCCTCTCCATAGAAGGTCTGTTTATAGCCTACTCAGCAACCCCGGGGGACCTGAACAAACTCCATCAGTTTCCAATACCCAAACCACTGGCTTTGCAGGCCTAGCCTTACGGAGAGGGCCACAGGAAATACTTGGGTGAGAATGCAGAGTAATTGTTAGGAATAACACATCTCTGGATAAAACACGTATCTATCTGTATATCAATTTGCATGTCTGTTTCTATGTATCTGTATCCATGTCTACAACATAAATTATATATATATATAAAACACATAAATAGGCCTTTCTCTACCACTCCCTCAAGTCTGCCCATAGTCTCTTTTCTAGATCTCTGATTTTAATCTGTAATGATAGAACAACTGCTTGATTTCATTAGTGCAAACCTACAAAAAATCTGAAAATGAAAGCCATCCCCATTTACTATTTCTATCATTTAAGTCAGAAAAGAGGCTGAGGTGAGTAATGTGTACAGTCCCGCAGAGGAGATCCCCACATGAAACATGGGGATGCATGATCTCACACACACCCCTTCCATTCGAACGGGAGCTCAAGCTTTTACAGACTGTATTCTTTTTACTATAAGAGTGAACAGGGAAGTCAGGGACCAGTGGTTCACACCTATAATCCTGTCTACTCAAGGCTAAGACCTGAGGATTGAGGTTTGGGGCCAGCTTGGGCAAGAAAGTCTGTCTGAGATTCTGATCTTCAACTGATGACCAAAACCAAAACAACAGAAACCAAAAACAAAAGCCAGAAGTGGAGCGGTGGCTCAAGCAGTATAACACCTATTGTGAGTGAAGAAAACTGAAGGACACTGCCCGGGCCATGAATTCAATCCCCAGTACTGGCACCTGGCATGCGTGCACACACGCACGCACACCCATATGCACATGCATGCACACACACACATATACACTGAAAGGCGAACATGGCAAAACTTGGAAACAGGAAGGAAATAAACATTTCCCCAGATCCTACTTCCCGGGAATGTTGTAGTGGTTTCCAGTCTTTGTACATGCACTGTTTTAAAAGTGAGAACATTTTCTATCAAACACGTATGAGTGTGTGTGTCCATTTCTAAAGATGAGCATGCTCTTACCGTGTGGCCCACGCTGGCCCGGAACCCACGCCTCTGCTTCCGCGTGGTCACAGGCCTCACCATGGCGAGCTCTAAGTTAAATCTTTATTTATTTTCCCTGATCAAACCATGAATGTTTCCAGAAAGGAACATCGAAATCCATCTCCCACTCTCTTCTTGTTGTAGGGACACAAGGCATTTTTAAAATATCTAAGTAAAAGGGAGTTTTTATGATTTAGTCCTCACCCGTGTGCACAATCTAAGGTTAGTTAACATGCTCTTTCTGGTGTATTCCCCGGGGACAGTGTATATCAAAAGAGGCTGAGCTGGTCCGTGAGAATGAAAGAAAAAAGTGAGTGACTATCCAAAAATGACGCTATGGGGGAAAAGCATCCTACATGGCTCAGAGAAACCACCACAACGACAAGGCAGGTTAAAGCCCTAAATAGTGCAAAAACATGGGATTTACATGATTAGAATTAAAAAGTCAGACGACAGTCATGCCCTATGAATAAAGTCACATGAAAAACATAAAGCATAGAAAAGGGAGAGTTTCTGACATCATCTCTCTCCTTTTTTTAATCATCGTGGGCACTCCTAGTAAACGTTCTGGAGGTTGTAAAGGATTTCCTCTTCAGCAGAGTTGGACAGAAGCATCCTCTCACAGGAAACCAATCGTCTTATAAAAGGCTCCAGCGGAGTTGGAATTCTCAGGGCTTGGGGCTTGGCCTCACCTGGGAGGAGAGCAGGAGGAGACAGAAGCAGCAGCCGCATAGCTGAGAAGCTGGAGGCAAAGTGACCAGCTGACAAAAACAGTAAGTGCAGAACGCTTTACCATAGTGACTTTGGTCACGACACAGATTTCTCAAGGTAAAGGGATCTGCGAAAAAGCCTTCTCATAAAAATACCAGCTTTAGATGGGTGCTGGTGGCTCACGCCTGTCACCCTAGCTACTCAGGAGGCTGAGATTGAGGATCACGGCTCAAAGCCAGCCTGGGCAGGAAAGTCCGTGAGACTCTTATCTCCAATAAACCACTAGAAAACTGGAAGTGGTGCTGTGGCTCAAGCGGTGGAGCGCTCACCTTGAGCTGAAGAGCTGAGGGACAGCGCCCAGGCCCAGAGTTCAAGCCCCACAACTGACAAAAAAAAAAAAAAAATCAGCTTTATTGCACTGTAGTTAAAACCTGTCTTTTCTCTCCATGCCTAAATGATAAAAACCTTGTATTTTGTATGTCAGCATGATAGGAAATGTCTGAATGACAAGTGTGGCACTGGAAATCTATACGTAACTTCTTTAAGGCTGCTTTAAATACTATTCACGGTAAAAGAATGTGAGCAGTTAGGGCGTATACATTCTATAATCAACATCATACTTGCACTTCCTCTCCCCAGAGAAACGTCTCAAGTTTAACCTTTGTTGGAAGGCCCTCGGAGTCATGACTGTCTCCGGCTTTCTCTCCATTCTGGCTGTGGGTAAGTCATGTCATGCCCATGGCTGACACTGAAGACCAGAATATTCTTCCCTGCAGGTGGGGCTGTCCTTTGTGGGATGTTTGGTCACACCAGCTCGTGTTTGGAGTAGTTGGCTTTGTCTCTTAGGGATTGAGTTGCTTTATGTCTCAAGTATTGACGATTAGTGCCCTATTTAGTCATAATGAGGTTCCAATGCACGGTTCTTTTCAAGTGCTCAAACAGTGGCACACAGTAAGGGCCCAAGCTCCCCTGTGTTGGTTGTTATGCTACTGTAAGGTGGGTATACTACTAGCTGGGGACAGAAGAAGACAATAAAGAACTTTTAGTGCGGCTGGTGACAACAGAGAAATGCAAGAAATGCTAGTTCCTCCCCGTGTTCTTCTACTTTTGAAAACTTGATAAGGCTTGAGCCATTCCAAAGGTCATATATATATATATATATATATATATATATATATATATTATGTTAGGTATGCACTATATACATATATCTCAAAGACAAGGAGGAATGTTAAACCATTGCAGAAGTAAACTCTACCCTCCACCTTCCTCCTCCGCCCTCAGTGCTTCTTGTTGAAGAGAGTAGACCCTGGTCTTACCACACCTCCACAGAACTCCTGACTTACGACGAAGCCAGCGCTTACTGTCAGCAAAGGCACACACACCTGGTGGCGATTCAAAATAAGGAAGAGATTGAGTACCTAAACTCCACCTTGAGCTTTGCACCAAGTTACTACTGGATCGGAATCAGAAAAGTCAACGGCGTGTGGGTCTGGGTAGGGACCCAGAAGCCCCTGACTGAAGAAGCCAGGAACTGGGCTCCGGGTGAGCCGAACAACAAGCAGAAGAACGAGGACTGCGTGGAGATCTACATCAAGAGAGAGCAGGATTCTGGGAAGTGGAATGATGAGCGGTGCGACAAGAAGAAGCTGGCTCTGTGCTACACAGGTGGGGTGTGGGGAGCAGAGGGGGAGGGGCGGAGGAGGGGTGGGGGAGGAGGAGGGGAGGGGGAGGGGGAGAGAGGAGGAGGGGAGGGGGAGAGAGGAGGGGAAGGGGAGGGGGAGAGAAGAGGGGAAGGGGAGGGGGAGAGAGGAGGGGAAGGGGAGGGGTCCGTTTCAGCATTTGAGTGGTTTGTCTACTTTATATTGTCCCACAACTGGGTTTTACTCTGGTTTTATATATATATCTGGTTATATATATATTTATATATATATATTTTTTTTCAACCAATTCAAATTTATTGAGAAGTTTAACATTTACAGTAGGAGACAATCCACTCACCCAATTATGGCTGGAAAAGAAAGCTGGTAAAGGGCTGGGAAGATGGCTCAAGTAGTAGAGCAGTAGCCTTGAGCTGAAGAGCTCAGGGACAGCGCCCAGGCCGAGTTCAGGCCCCACGACCGACACACACACACACACACACAAAACATCACAATTCAGCATTAGTGAACTCCAAACCGTAATCAGGTCAATGGATGAAATTAGTATGTGGTTCCTCTTCTTTCCCTGAAGTAGTCATGTGAAATCCAGAGTTCAGATGGAAGGCGGTCACAGCAGCAGCGGTTCTCCAAGAGCAGTTTATATTTTCAAACACACAACTTTATATTTATTTATTTATTGCCAGTCCTGGGGCTTGAACTCAGGGCCTCGGCACTGTCCCTGAGCTTCTTTTGCTCAAGGCAAGCCCTCTACCACTTGAGCCACAGCATCACTTCTGGCTTTTTCTGTGTATGTGGTACTGAGGAATCGAACCCAGGACTTCATGCACGCTAGGCAAGCATTCTACCACTGAGCGACTTTCCCAGCCCTAAACATACAACTGTAAAGCAGCATGTGTGACCGCCATGGTAGCCTCTTAACTTCATGTGAATGTAGGCAGGAAGTGTGTGCATTATACATTTATATGTGTGCATTATACATTTACGTGTGTGCATTATGCATTTAGGTGTGTGCATTATGCATTTATGTGTGTGCATGTAGTGTTATTGCTATAGAGGTATCTATAGATGCATGCATCTGTGTATTTGGGGAAGGGGGAAATGTCTTTAGAGCTAGTGATAAAATGGTTTTTCTTTCTGCCTGGTGCCAGCAAAATCTGCTCTCCTGTCTGCGTATTAACTCTGGGTGTAAAAAGAGATTCATCTCACAATCAGACCTGGCATTTTTTTTTTTTTTTTTTTTTTGGGTCAGGTCATGGGGCCTGAAATCTGGGCCTGGGCACTGTCCCTCAGCCCTTCAGCTCAAGGCTAGCGCTCTACCACTTGAGCCACAGTGCCACTTCTGGCTTTTTTCTTCTTTTTGCTTATATGGTGCTGAGGAATCGAACCCAGGGCCTCAGGCATGCAAGGCAAGTGCTCTACCACTGAGCCACCTTCCCAGTCCCAGACCTGGCATTTTGTCTAAAGCACTTTGGTTAAACTCATGAGCACATTGACGATGCATTTCTTGCATTCATAAAGCAACTCAGGCAAACAGCCTGCGGCAGCGCTCATCTTGAACTGTTCTTCCTGCAGCTGCCTGCACGGAAGCCTCCTGCACTGGCCACGGCGAATGCATAGAGACCATCAACAACTACACCTGCGGGTGCCACCCCGGCTTCCGCGGACTCAGGTGTGAGCAAGGTGAGTCTAGTTCTTAGCTCCTCCTTCCCTGCAGAGGGCAGCATCAGCTCCAGTGTCTTGAGCGCCTGTCTTCCTGTGTCTGGGTCATCAGGGTGCCGTCAGGTATGGGGAGGCTGGGTCTGGGTGGTCAGCCCATTCCTGGCGTCCCGGCCCAGATGCACTACGTACTAGCCTATGGCACCTGGACCAGGAGTGTTTATGGGACCGGCATCGTGCCTGGGGACTGTCATGGGTTCTATGGCCCGTAACTATAGCTGACCTCTCTAGGTGGTGGGGTGGAATGAAGATGGTGGCCTTTCAGTTCCATGGTGCCTGGGTTCACAGGGGGCGTTCAGGAATTCCCAGGGGTCTGCCCACGGGACACCAGTGACTCGGCTTCTTCTTCCAGCGGTGACCTGCCCAGCCCAGGAGCGTCCTGAGCACGGAAGGCTGGACTGCGCGGGGCCTTTCGGGCCAGATGGCTACAGCGCCTCCTGCTCTGTCCGCTGTGACAGGGGCTTCGTGCCCAGCGGCCCGGAGACCCCACGCTGCACGTCCTCTGGGCTGTGGAGCGCTCCCCCCCCTGCCTGCCGGGGTAAGCCCTCCCGCCGGCACGGCGGATGCTCGCGCGCACCCCTCATTCCCTGGGGTGCGTCCAGCCTTGAACCTCTTCCCACGCCACTGAAAGGTCTTTATACCGCCATCGTTAGCAACACTAGCCGTCTCTGTCACCAGGTGCAGCCAAGCTAAGAGCTGTGGGCTCCAAGAAGCCTTTCCTTGTCTCCAGGGGCATTTTTGAGGCTCTGGTGACCCTAAAAGGAGCCGGGGGTGGGCACAGTGGCCCTGTCTAAGTCTCGATGATGCTCTCCCCTTTCTCTGCCTATCTTTTCTGCGTAATGGGACCAACGAATCCGTGCTGATCAAGCCGTGTCTCTCCTTTTCTCTTCCCCTCACTGGATCTCATCTCCCGGGAGGAGAACGTTGGTCCTTCAGGCGTCACTGGGATCCAAACAAGCCGCCTCATGTCGGCCTGTCTGGTTCTCATCCCAGTCCTGCTCTGGAGCCGTCACTCTCGCCTTCTGCTCCGAGGCACTGGTTTTCCTTGACCAAAGGCCTGAGAGGCTGCGAAGGTGGCTCAGTGGTAGAGCGCTTGCCTTGCATGCATGAGGCCCTGGGTTCGATTCCTCAGCACCACATAAGCAGAAAAAGCTGGAAGTGGCGCTGTGGCTCAAGTGGTAGAGTGCTAGCCTTGAGCTGAAGAGCTGAGGCCCAGAGTTCAGGCACCACGACTGGCAAAAAAAAAAAAAAAAGAAGGGCTGAGGCGAGGGCCGGTGCAGAGGAGGAGGGGGGCTGTGGCAGTGCGGGCCCAGGCTCTGGGGTCCGCTCTCGTTGGTGGCTGTCTGGCTCTGTCTGGGGTCTGCTCTGTCTGGCTCTGTCTGGGGTCGGCTCTCGTTGGTGGCTGTCTGGCTCTGTCTGGGGTCCGCTCTCGTCGTCTGTCTGGCTCTCGTCGGTGGCTGTCTGGCTCTATCGTCGGTGGCTGTCTGGCTCTGTCGTCGGTGGCTGTCTGGCTCTGTCTGCAACAAGCTTCTGTAAAGCCCACGGTCTCTCCCCGCAGCGGTGGAGTGCCGTGCCCCCCCCAGCCCTGCCAACGGGCTCAGCACCTGCTCCCGCGGCCCTGGCAGCTTCCCGTGGAACACGACCTGCTCCTTTGGCTGCGAGGAGGGGTTCGAGGTCAGGGGCGCGGAGACCCTCAGGTGCACCTCGTCCGGACGCTGGGACCGCGAGCCGCCCGTGTGCAAAGGTAGACACGCTGCTCCTCCACTGGGGACGGTGGTAAACGTCCCCCCCACTGAGCCCGGCAAGCCTGACTCCTGTGCTTTGTCGAAAGGCGCTGAGCAGGGGCATGCCCACACGCTTGCTGCAGCCCAGCCTTACACGGACACCTCCCCTGTCTTCCAGCTGTGACGTGTGACGCTGTCCCTCAGCCCCAGAATGGCTCCGTGAAGTGTGCGCACGGCCCCGCTGGAGAGTTCACCCCCAAGTCCTCTTGCGTCTTCAGCTGCAGGGAAGGCTTCAGGATGCTGGGGGCAGCCGAGCTTGCGTGCACAGCTCAGGGCCGGTGGTCCCAGGCGGTGCCCTCCTGCCAAGGTAGAACCCAGCGTAGACTCCTCGGGGCAGGTGGGATTCCTGGCGGGCTGGTGCGTCGGCCTTGCTGGCAGGAGCCTCACCCCAGCTTCTGACACGGCCAGGCCGGTGGCCCTCAGCAGTGGCAGGGCTGGCGATGGCGCGTTGGGCCGTGGTGAGGTTTGCGAGCTCTGCCCTGCGCATCTCATTTGCAGCGGTCCGGTGTGCAGGCCTCGAGGCTCCGGGGACAATGAACGTGAGCTGCAGCGGGGCGCCCGTGGCCGGCGCCGTGTGCAGGTTCGCGTGCCCCGACGGGTGGGCTCTCAACGGCTCTGCGGCCCTCACCTGCGGCGCCTCGGGATCCTGGTCGGGGCCGCTGCCGACCTGCAAAGGTGATCACTGGCGCTGCGGTCATCACTGAGGGGCTGCGATCGTCCCCGGGCTGGGGGGGGGCGTGCGGCCGTGCCCAGGCGGTCACTACCCGGCCGTGCACAGCAGAACGGACGTGGACAGGAGCTGGTGCGTATTCAGCCGGAGGGAGAAAGCCAGCACCGGAACAGGGAGATGGAGGAAGAATAAGAAACGGAAAAGGGGAGATGTTGGGTGAGAGAGAGAGAGAGAGAATTAGAAGAGGGCGGCAGTAACCCAGACACGTTGTGGCACTGTGAAAAAGCTTGGTGGCAAGTTGGTGTTGTCGGTGGAAGTGTTGGCAGGACTCAGCCCCTGGGCTTCTCAGGACAGATCTAACAGACCTAACAGATCCAACAGACCTACAAGAGTCTGTTGATTTCCTAGAAATCAACCTACAGACACATGGCCGGCCTGAGAGGTCTTCAAGCCCATGGCCTCTCCTGCTGATCCTTCCTCCTCCTTGTTCCCGTAGCCCCCACAGAGGCCAGCCTGGCCTTGGCAGCTGGACTTTCCATCGCGGGCACCTCCTTCCTGGCAGTGACTTCATTTCTCCTCTGGTTTCTAAAGCGCTTTTGGAAGAAAGGTAAGGGAGCTCCTGAAAAGACTCTAAAATGTGTGTGGAAATATACGTGTATTAGAGCACTAGCCTGGAGCTGAAGAGCTGAGGGACAGCGCCCAGGTCCAGAGTTCAGGGCTCATGACTGGCCAAAAAAAAAAGAAGAAGAAGAAATATACGTGTGTCTCCCGCTGATGAGTCTCTGCTTTCTTGCACATTTTTAACTGGAATCTAGTAACCAGTGCATATTGATTGGATGCATACTAATAACCTAGCGAATGCACGGGAAAGGCATGTGTAATGGAACTCAACCCAGAGTTTAAGGAAATCTAAATGGTAGTTGTGTAAGCCCTGCAGAACTCTAGGGGGCGCTGTTTGTAATGAATGCCGTGTTGCTCTTGGAATAGTGCAACAAGATTGCTTTGATGTCCACACTCAGAGACATGGATAAAATGTTCCCTAAAAAGATCTACTTGAGGGCTGGGAAGGTGGCTCAGTGGTAGAGTGCTCGCCTAGCAGGCATGAAGCCCTGGGTTTGATTCCTCAGTACCACATCCACAGAAAAAGCCGGAAGTGGCACTGTGGCTCAAGTGGTAGAGTGCTAGCCTTGAGCAAAAGAAGCTCAGGGACAGTGCCCAGGCCCAGAGTTCAAGCACCAGGACTGGCAGAAAAGAAAACACAAAAAGATCTACTTGAAACATAATCTTACCTTTGGGAGTATCTCTGCGGGAACACGCAGGCCTAGCTATCCAGACTCATGGTTTCAAACCTTTGAATTACAACCAGATAAACAGTAGAAAAGTCTCATGATTCTCATGAAAAATTGGAAGAAGAAAAATTGGCAAACTGGGCCTGGTGTTAAACTGGGCCTGAAACTACTTCCTGGTGTTAAACTGGGCCTGAAACTACTTCCTGGTGTTAAACTGGGCCTGAAACTACTTCCTGGTGTTAAAAAGTCACTGTGTTGTTAGATTTTTTTTTTTCTTTTTAAGTAAACTTTGTTCCTACCAATTTGACAATATATGGTCCTTGAGCTGCTGGGGTTGCAGACCCTCGTGAGTCAAGTGAAACTGGGTCTGATCTGCTGACAAGCCGTTAGTCCACACTGATGTCCTTTCTCTCTCTTGCAGCAAAGCGGTTTGTTCCTGCCAGGTATGTTGTGTTCCTGTAGAAAGCATGCCTCTGAACACGCTACGTACTTTTCTCTCTTTGGGTGGGGAAATGGCATTTGACGTGGTGTTCTCCTGTATTTCACAGCACTTTCGAGAGCTTTGAATTACATGAAAAGCACTCAGTGCCTTCTGATACCAACTAAATTCAAAAGAACCAGGTAAGACTTGAACAGGACAGGAGCACGTCGTGAGAGCTTCTTCTCCGAAAGGCCTCCTCATCTTCTAGCCTCTTCTCTGAAAGCTCTCCTCGTCTTCTAGACTCTTGCAAACCTACCATTTGCTACAGGGAATCTTCATCTTCCTGGAAGTTGTTTCTTTCCTCTGCAGAGAGAAAGCAAAGGAGTGACGGCTTTCCTGAGCCAGTTCTTTTTGAAAGATAATAACGATGTGAGCTCACTTCATCCATCACTTATTGAGTTCTAGGCGCAGTCCTAAACTAGGAATTTTCTGAGCTATTACTTTATGTATTGCCATTCAGAAGTAAGAGGAGGCCCACAGGAGGTAATCGGTCTGGCCCATGTAGCTGGGATTCAAACACAGGCGATGGTTCTGGAATCTGTGTTTCTAAAGAGTAGTCTGTGCTGGAGGATGCCTTTTATTATCAGCACGCGATGGGGCAGAGCTCTGCGAGCACTCACCTTGTGTGCGTTTGCAGGAACGCAGGTGCTAGCTGCTGTAGGAACAGCAGTGCTGCACAGAAGACAGAAGAGATGAGAACCAGCCTCCTTTCTTGTGTACGGTACTTGCTGCCTTGCAGCTCAGACCGTACCGTCCATGGATCGGAAGCCAGTGCTCAAGAGGCTCAGTACCAAACGTGCTGTTTTCTCTTTCCCAGTCTTAGGATCAAGATAGTGTTGGCGACTGAGGACAAAGGCTGTGCTCTCCAAGAAAGATGAAGAGACCAAGGCTCTGGATCTCCGGACTTCTTTTATAACTTGCCTACTCTGAGATTGCTGTGTTTCAACTACTAACTGCCTAGCTGTTGTCATGGAGAGACGTAATAACCATCAGGAGTCCAGAGGAAAGAGACTTTACTTCTAAGTTGGGAAAAAAAATGACATTTTTCAGGCCCACAGACAACTGTGTGGCAGTGTGCCGGGATACCAAACACAGTCACAGCCACATTTATGCAGTTCTTTCTGGAGAGTTCTTAGACATGGTGTTCTGTTTATGTGTTTTGAATATAGCTAATTTACCATCATTCTTCCATCAGTACAAGGAATAAAGGGAGTTACATATTTGGTGTAATCTATAGCAGGGTAAACATTACTTATTCCAACTTCTTTACTGAATATTCATCTGCAGGAAATTTATTTCAGCACCAGGCAGATGGTATCAGTGTGAGGTTCAGAGTGGGTTTTTTTGTTGTTGTTGTTGGTCGTGGGGCTTGAACTCTGGGCCTGAGCGCTGTCCCTCAGCTCTTCAGCTGAAAGCTAGCGCTCTACCACTTGAGCTACAGCACCATTTCCGGTTTTCTGGTGGTTTTTTGGAGATGAGTTTCACAGACTTTCCTGCCTGGGCTGGCTTTGAACCATGATCTCAGATCTCAGCCTCCTGAGTAGCTAGGATTACAGGCATGAGCCACCGGTGCCTGGCTCAGAGTGTTTTACTACAGTTGTAGTACATTTGGAGGCATTGGAGTTGGATGGAGGGCTTGTATTGTCAGGATATTGTTTTCACAAATGTGTGGTTTCCGGCATAGAAAGCTTGCATAAGGTCAAATGCTCTGATATTTATTTAAAAAAACATAAATGGAAAAAAATGAAGATGCAATTTCTTTTTTTTCTTCTTTTTTTTTTGGTCCTGTCGTGGGCCTGAACTCTGGGCCTGGACGCTGTCCCTCAGCTCTTCAGCTCAAGGCAAGCGCTCTACCACTGAGCCACCTTCCCAGCCCCTGAAGATGCAATTTCATGACTACCTTTGCTGAAAAAGTTAGAGAGGAACACAGTTGTGATTTGCATTCCTACAAAGATGTCTGTCAGGGGTGGCGTGTAAACACACCATATGACAGGAGATTTTAAATTGGTGGTGAGACACACCTGTCAGCAGGCTGGTGACTCACCACTGACACCTCAACAAGAACTATCCTAGCTCTGCAGGAGGCTGGGACGTAGAGGCCTGCGGCTTGAGGCCAGCTGGAACAGAAAAGTCTCAAAGACCCAATCTTCCATTAAGACACAAAATGTCAGCCCACAGGTCTGGCTCAGGTGGTAGAGAACCAGCCACCAGCAAGGGCGGAAAAAATAAAAAGGATGTACCCAGAGTAGTTCCAAGAAGTGAAGCCATCTAACAATTATCTTCTAGTTGTTTTATTCTGTGTTGTGTGATCTGGAAGAGGAGAATGTTTTGCCAACAAATCTTTATGTTTATTTATAAGTAGAGACGTGGGCGTTGAAGTGTCCAGTCATTACTGTTAAGGAGGACTTTTTGGTCAATAATGCCAAAGCTGACTCAGAAAACCTCTCCCCTCCTTCCACAAACTTCATGTATTGAAAAGGAAAAATTCAGCAAAATTCTTGCTGAATAGTGATGATGGCAAAACCAACAATAAGCAGGAAGTGTGATAAGATCAGAACAAGGAAGAATCTTTAAGGGCAGAAAACTCTGCGGGGGGAGGTTGGAGGATGGAAAGAACAGCAATCATGATCAGAATTATTAATGCTTCTGAAACCCTCAAAGGTTGTACGTTGTTCTGCATATGCATCAGAAGTAACTCTGTGAAATGTAAACGTGACTTGTGTCCGAATTTACATAATGTTAAATTATGATTTTTTTCATTTTAAAGATATGTATTTATTTAAGCTGTATCAGACTCCTATTTGATAGGACACCATAACCTTTGATAATAATAAAAGTCTTTGTAAACAGCTTCTTTCTTATATATGCTATTGCCTTTAACTAAAAACTCACGTATCACAAAATGCTCTGTCTTAAAATGTAACGAGAAGCAACCATCCATCTAGCTCTGGAAGATTCTGGCACAAGGGGGTCCTGGGTCCATTAGCATCCGTCCCCCGGGTGCTGGCACTTCCAATCTACTTTGGGTGGCTGTGCATTTCCCACTTTGGGCATTTCCTATGAAAAGACTCCCGTGTGCCAGTGTGCTGCATGATTCGAAGGTTCACCCCTCCCGTCCTATGTGTCGGTACGGTAGCGCATTTTGTGGTTGAACTCCGTTCTGTTGTATGGCTATGCCATTTTTTTTCTCTACTCAATTTATGAACTTTAGGTTGTTTTTAGTTTTCGGCAACTACAAGTAATGCTTCTATAAACATCTGAATATGAATTTTGGAGTAGACACGTTCTTCACTCTTCTGTTCATACATCGAGAAGTGGGATAGTTGGGGGGAACTACACATGCTGTAGAAACCATGCTTCATGTTTTTCTCTTGGAGATTGTTTTTTTGTTTTTTTTTTAATTTAATTTTATTTTATTTGAGAACATACTGTACAGAGGGGTTACAATTACATGGGCAGAAAAATGCATACATTTCTTACCAAGCATTGCAACCTCCTCCTTTGTTTACCCTTCACCTCCCTTCCCAGCCTCCCCCCTCCCCTGGAGATTGTTTTTAATGACCAATCCCAAAGACAAAACTCAGAGAGGATAGAATGAGTAAGAAAAAAAAATCATACTTCTTTTTCCTTGTTACCATTAAGCATTACAATGTGTTTCAAAATACATAGCCAGACCACCAATTCCAATCGCTGCCTTTGTTCAAATATTAGGAAAACAGTCAAACAACAGAAATCCATCTTGAGATACCTTCTAGACGGAAAAGCCAGATTGTTATATATAAATCATTAACTCTGTGGTTTAGGCTCGCAATATTTAGCAGGCTTGTTCAATAATGATTTCTATTGCTTATAGTAACCTTAACATAAATGTCTAATTTCACGGTCAACATTCCTTTCATTGTAAGCATACAATTTCTTAACTGATATTCGTGGGTAGAGTAATGACAGTGGCTACCAAGACAGTACTACTCAAAGACCAAAAGATGGTCATTTACAAAGATATAATGTATATACATATATATATATAGTTTATATATATATATACACACTCTCAGTATGCAACTATTTCCACAGTTTTGTATGTATTTGTCTTTTTTTTTTTTTTGGGTCCGGTCGTGGGGCCTGAACTCTGGGCCTGGGCGCTGTCCCTCAGCTCTTTAGCTCAAGGCTAGCGCTCTACCACTTGAGCCACAGCGTCACTTCCGGCTTTCTTTTTGCTTATGTGGTGCTGAGGAATCGAACCCAGGGCCTTGAGCATGCAAGGCAAGCGCTCTACCACTGAGCCACCTTCCCAGCCCTGTATTTGTCTTATAAATACAGAAAAAGTCTTAAATTTGAAAAACAAGATGAATGCATTTTCATCTTCATTTTAAAATAACTTTTCAATTAAAAAGTCCCTCGTACTTGTTAAGTCTGGTCAGCAGATGGCTTTAATAGTCTCTGCATTACATATTCAACTATTTTACCCTTTCTTTGAACCTCATTACAGTCCATTTGGCAGTAAGACCTCTAGTGCTTTATGGAAAACTTCATCCAAGGGACTATGAGATTCAATCTGCATTTGAGCTCTTTAGATGATAATAAGTTATAACAATGTCCAAAAAAATCATATGATCATTTATCAACACATTTGGGACCTGTGAATTACTGCAAATGACCTCACATCATATAATTTAAATACAAACTTTGAGGGGAGGGGTTAAATAAATACTACTTGGTTTTACATTTCTAATGTTGCCAGTGGTTTGATAAAAACATTAACAGAACTAACAGGAAAAGTACAGGAAACCTTAAACTATCTTAAGGATTATTTTTGTGTGTGCCAGTCCTGGGACTTGAACTCAGGGCCTGGATGCTGTTCTTGACCTTTTTTAGTCAAGGCTAAAGCTCTACCACTTGAGCCACAGCTCCAGTTCTGGCTTTTTTGGTGGTTAATTGGAGATAGGTCTTGTGGACTCTCCTGCCCAGGCTGGCTTTGAACCAGGATCATCAGATCTCAGCCTCCTGAGTAGCTAGGATTATAGGTTTGAGCCACTAGTGCCTTGCGTGGTGTGTGTGTGTGTGTGTGTGTGCGCAAGTGCGTGTGTGCATGTGCACGCGCTCCCAAAAGAGTTTGGCATCTGCCTGTGGGGACGGAGAAACAAGACTGCCCTGACCAATGTTGATGGACCTCATGAAGTCTTTGAGGGCCTGAACTGAAGAAAACCCTGGCAGAAGGTGAGCTTCCTCTCTGCGCTGGGACACTGTGGTCCCGGCCCTTGGACATTGGCGCTGAGGCTCCGGAGCCTTGGGAGGCAGATGGAATTCTATGCCATTGGGGTTTTCTGGCTGTTTGCAGGGAGTAGATTATAAGACCTTCTACAATCATGTGACTTAATTCCTATAATAAACACACACACACATGCCTATCCACATTTTACTTGTTTCTCTGGAACAATGTTAGTTAATTATTTCAACAGTCAAATCGTCACAGAGCTTGGGAGTATCCTAAGAGCTAGAGACTAATAAAGACATCGAAGGGGGTAGGGGAGTCGAAGGACCAGGACGTAGAAAATTAGCTTAAGACAAAGTTGCAATGGAGAAAAGAAACAAAGAAGGAAAATTAGGAGGAAGACCTGAGAGGCAGTGAGTAAACAGTATGCATGCCGCAGACGGAAGAGGCCCACGTCTGGATCTCCTTTCAAGCCCCTGTGTACACACGCACGCTCACAGATACACAACACACACTCCACATAGATTTACCTTGAAACCAATGGAAATTCGTTTAGCATCACAGGGCCTGAGACCTAGAAACATGTTCACACTTTGATATTCTTTTTGTAAAGAGAGATCCTAAATTGTCTAACCTGTCGGGACCTGCAAGATCTAGAATATTATTGACTGCTCTAGTTTGCTAAAGTTGCGTGAGCATGTAGGCCCTGAGTTCAAATCCCAGTAATGGCACACAAATCAGTGGGAGCAGAGAAAAAAGAATAAAGCTTTAGGAGCAGAGAAGATGCGGGAGAATCATCATATAGACAGGGAAGGATAGGCATTGCTGGTTGCAGGAAATCAGAGCAGCCTGGTCAAACAAGAAGAAGGCCAGCAAGGGATGGGAGGGGAGTCTGCTGAGAGAAGTCTCAGAGGATTTGTGGGCTTGAAATCCTGACTGAATATGGCCACATGAGAATTAGAGGAACGATCTTGGGTACATCCTGGGCTTGAACTCAGGGCCTGGGCGCTGCCCCCAAGCTTCTTTTGCTCAAGGCTCATGCTCTACCTGTTGAGCCACAGCACCACTTCCGGTCTTTTCTGTGTATATGGTGCTGAGGAATCGAACCCAAGGCTTCCTGCATGCTAGGCAAGCACTCTGTCACTGAGCCACCTTCCCAGCCCTGTCTTGGTACTTTCCCAGGCCTTGGCTCCAAGTTCATACTCCTTTGTCATGTCTTCCAAGGGCATAGCAGAAATTCAGTGTAATGATCTGAAACATTACATTCTGAAGGAACTGGCCTCAGTTCAGAAACCAGTATGTCTTCATAGCAACTTCTTTAACCTCTCTGAGACTCCTTAACATGGGAGTAATAGTTTGTATAGCACAGTGCTATTACTAAGATTGAATAGGTCATTTATAAGAGGTACTAAGCTCTACAGCGTTCATTATTTTGTAGTTTTCTATATTCGTATTTACACGCACATAGTAGCAATATAAAGTATAAAATATTGTACATTATATTATAAATATATGTTTACATATTGCATATACATATACAATTAAGTACAGTATGATGTTTGTAATACACTCATAATTTTACATTGTTTACAACTATATATTTAGATAAAATATTTATATATGGATATTTTACCAGTTTTATATTTTTACAATGCGAATACTATCGTGTCAGTGGCCTGGTTTCTTTTACTTCTATTATTATTCTTAGGTAATGATTTGAGACCCAGCTTCCTGTGAAATCTTATTTCCTTCACATTCCTTGGAGTCCCGAAATGTTCCTGGGACAGAAGCTGGACTTCCTCCACTATTATTACCTTCGTGTGTTTGTAGGAAGGGGTTCAGCTCAACCCGCCGGATCATGAGGATTCTCCAGCCCCCACCCCGGTCTCTCCGACGCTCCAGTGCTGGGCCGGCCTTGGCCTCTCTCCGCTCCCCGCCTCCCCTCAGGGCACGCTGGTACCAGGTTTCCACTAGAGGGCGGTCAAAGAAAGAGGGAGGAGGAAAAAGCAGCCTGGCTGGCTGGCCAGCAACACTGGATTTGGCCATCTTGGTCCATTTGTGTCAAGTACAACCTTCTAATCTGTGGAATGATCAAGGATCCCTTTCATGTGCAGATGGGAGTTAGCCTGGTGTTTGGGGCGGGGAGAAAGAAGGGCTAGGGGAGAAGGAGGGTTAGAAAGGAGAGATTGGGAGAGAGGGATGGAGGGAGAGAGAGAAGGAGAGAGAGAGGGAGAGAGAGAGGGAGAGAGAGAGAGAGGGAGGGAGATGGAGAGGGAGGGAGAGGGGGGGAGAGGGAGATGGAGAGAGAGAGGGAGAGAGAGGGAGAAGAGAAAGAAGGGCTAGGGGAGAAGGAGGGTTAGAAAGGAGAGATTGGGAGAGAGGGAAGGAGGGAGAGAGGGAGAGGAAGAAAGAGAGGGAGAGGGAGAAAGAGGGGAGAGGGAGAGAGAGGGAGAAGGAGAGAGAGGGAGAGAGAGGGAGAGGGAGGGAGAGAGAGAGGGAGAGGGAGACAGGGAGGAGAAAGAAGGGCTAGGGGAGAAGGTTAAAAAGGAGAGATTGGGAGAGAGGGAAGGAGGGAGAGAGCTGAGAAAAAGGAGTGGCTACAGCAAGAGAAGAGAGAGAAGAAGAGAGATGAGAAGGAGAAGAGAAAGAGGGGGGAGATGGGAGGGAGGAAGGGAGGGAGGGAGGGAGGGAGGGAGGGAATAACCTCAGCACAAGATGCTTCAGTGAGCAGCTGGTTTTTCCTCGGGGAGGTGGTGGAGGTCGCTGTAGGAAAGGGGTGGGGAAAGAGGAGGGGGAAGAGGCAGAAGATGGGGAGGAGGGAGGCTGGGTCAGAGAAATGAAAGGGGGTGAGCCCTGCTGGTGCCGCCCTGCCACCCGCCACCCTGCTGCCCGCAGCCAACTCTTGCACAAGGACCCGAGGCTCCCAGGCCCAGGAGAGCCGCGCGCCGCAGAGGAAGAGAGGAGAGGAGAGGAGCACCAGAGAAGCCATGGTGAGCCTTGCAGCCACACCATTCCCACATCCTCCAGAAGCTTCTCGGGTTGTCCTGGCAGGAGGCAGGCATGGGGGTGGGCAAGCCATCCATTGAGATTTGGGGGTAAAAAAGGATGACAGAACCCCCCAAAATGTGGTCAGAGTTTCAACAAGGGGACCCTAGCATGTCTGCTCGCAGACCTGCCCATTCCTCCCCCTCTGCCCTGTCTCTTGAAGATTCTTGAAGACGCAGCGCTCCAAGGAACACTTTGGCCAGGGCGGCCTGAAAAAAAGTAGAGTTTTAAAAAATGCAGAGAGATCTGTGGTCTCCTCATCCAAGCTCTCGCTTTGTATTCGGCACAAAGACGTCTCCTTTCCCATTTCCTCCTTGGTTACCTCTGCTTTTAGGCATTTGAGGCATATTGACTCACCAGGGTCAGTGTGAAGAGACGGTGCTAAATGAGAATAGCGCTAGTGTGTGAAGCATCAAAGAATGCTTTTTACAGATACCCACCCCGACTATGACATGGTTTAAAAGCTGAGCTGAGGGGCTGGGAAGGTGGCTCAGTGGTAGAGCGCTTGCCTTGCATGCATGAGGCCCTGGGTTCGATTCCTCAGCGCCACATAAGCAGAAAGAAAAAAGCCAGAAGTGGTGCTGTGGCTCAAGTGGTAGAGCGCTAGCCTTGAGCTGAAGAGCTGAGGGACAGCGCCCAGGCCCCACCACCGGACCCCCCCCCCCCCAAAAAAAAATAAATAAATAAAAGCTGAGCTGAAAAGGAGGTATAAAAATGATAGAAATGTAGACTAATACCAGACCAACGATGATGAGCAGCTTGAGACTGAACTATGAAACAAATGGAAGCAGCACTGAGCACCAGCTTGGGAGTCATTTGATGTGATTTTTCGCCCATGTTTGAGAATTCTCTTCCCGGGACAGGCTTCATAGGCATGCATGGTCTAGTCTGAATTGTACGAACACGATCGTCAAAGCGCTGTAAATAGGAGGCTCACTCAAATATCCTTTTGCATTTTCTTTGCAGATATTTGTGTGGAAGCGTCCGGGTGCCGGGCGGGGCTCCCGGGCCCTGTGCGGACTGTGGCTGTGGACAGCGCTCTGCTGCGGTATGCCCTGGTGCTGTGCGTCACCCCTTGTAACTCCTGTTCCTTGTTCTTCCCTCTCCTCTAAGACCATGTGCTTGCAGGGAAAATTGTTAGGTCAGCAGCTGTGAACCACCCCTTCCATGAACGTCCCTTTTCTATTTTTTATCTTTAGTTGGTTCTCAGAAACACATGAACCCTTTCTTTATCTACTACTCCCTGTGTGGCCCAATCCAGATCCTGACAAATCCCCTGGGAGTCTTCATGTCCTGCCGGTTCACGTTCATGACGAGCTATCGCAAGAAGGCTCTCCCAAGTGAAGCCAGTTGTTCAGCATTTTGTTTCCTATGAACGGTTGTTGTGCATAATGTAGCTTCTGCATTTGCAGCGTGAGCTCCACCAGCTGGGCATTGGTGGCTCATGCCAGCTACTCAGCAGGCTGAGAGCTGAGGATCACCGTTCAAAGCCAGCCCAGGCAGGAAAGTCTGTGGGACTCTTTTCTCTAATTAGCCACTCAAAAGTTGGAAGTGGAGCTGTGGCTCAAATGGTAGAGTCCTAGTCTTGACCACAAAAGCTTGAGGAGAGTGCTTAGGCCCTGAGTTCAAACCTAGCATGGATGTGCACACTCATGCGCGCGCGTGCGCACACACACACACACACACACACCACAAAACTAGGGTGTTTACCTTTTGGTGTTTCTTCCATTATGTTGCAAGTGTTATGTCTGAGTTGTAGGCTTCCCATCAACACCTTTGGACAGACTTTCCCGCTTCCTCGCAAGCTTGTGTTTTCAGCTCTGACTGTGCTGCACACTGCGCCGCACATTCCCTGTGTGGCCTCTGTCCTTTTTCTTCTGGGAAGCCAGAATTCCTTTACCCGTCACGCATTTTCTGCATCTCTTCAAAGTACACGCGCTGCTTTATGCACCGAGGGAGACCGACGTGTTAAGTGATTGACAGGCACTCAGAAAATGCAGCATGAATTTCTAAAGTACGCTGGTTAGACTTCACTGGAGAGCATTTTGAGGAAGACACTTTCATGAAAACAAATCTAGAAAAACTATTCAATGGGGGTAAAATAATGCCATGTGGTGAGCCTTCTACATTCAAGCCAGAAGGTCCCGTTCTGCTTCCCATTGGCAAACAACTCCCGCTCCTGAGACAGCCACTTACTCTTTTACTGTGGGGAGAGGGGCTCTTAGTTCCTCTTTGAGCTGGCAGCTCAGCCTGGAGGAGTGGGGGGGGGGGGGGCTCCTGCCAGCTGTCACGTTGTGTCAGTAACGCGATTTATGCTGATGTCTTTCAGATTTCTTGGCATACCATGGGACTGACTGCTGGACTTACCATTATTCTGAAAAACCTATGACCTGGGAAAACGCTAGAAGGTTCTGCCAAGAAACTTACACAGATTTAGTTGCCATACAAAATAAGGCCGAGATTGAGTACCTAGAACGGACCCTGCCCCTCAGCCGATATTACTACTGGATAGGCATCCGGAAGATCAGACAGACATGGACGTGGGTGGGGACCAACAAGTCTCTCACTGAAGAAGCAGAGAACTGGGGGACGGGGGAGCCCAACAACAAGAAATCCAAGGAGGACTGCGTGGAGATCTATATCAAGAGGGAAAGAGACTCAGGAAAGTGGAATGATGATGCCTGCCACAAACGCAAGACAGCCCTGTGCTACACAGGTGGGCAGCGCGGGGGGGGGGGGGGCTCAGGAGGACCTCAGTCAGGACAGTGAGACTCATGCCATGTGAGTGACCGGGTCCTAAAACCCCACAGCTCTAGCCCTCGAAATAAGCTTGAATCGTGCTCATTCTGAGCATTTCTGGTGTGTAAAAAGCCAGTCCTTATCCCCAGCGACTCTGTCCCTCTAGCAAGTGACATCAAGGTGTTAAGGCTAGTAGGTTGGGGGGGGAGAGAAAGTGAGAGAGAGAGAGAGAGAGAGCGAGCGAGCGAGAGAGAGAGAGAGAGTGAGAGAGAGAGAGAGAGAGAGAGAGAGGAGCCATGCACCTGGTGGTGGAGAGGCAGGGAGTTGGTGTTGAGAGTTCGCTCATTGTGAAGTAGAGGCTTAGATGTTGCAGGTTTCAGCTCCTTCTTAATAATTCTGTGCACTACCACATTGCACGATTTTTGTGGTTGATGAAAACTCCTGTAAGTACCATTACAATAATTCCAGCCTAGTTAGGACTTGCCAATCCCTATTTGAGCAATGACGTGGAGTTACTTTGGCTTCTGGAAAATGGCTCTGTGGGGCAGCATGGGCTTTTTAACTCGAGGGCTGCCTTCCTGTAAAGACAGGGAAGGCCAAGCAGAATGCAGAAACGACTGAGGCCAAACCATCACAGAATGCATTATCACACTAAGCACAAGGAACAGCAAAGGTTCTCATGCACGCTCCTGTTTTCCCATATACACCATTACTATCAGCAAGTTCAACCTGAAAGCAAAACAAGGTCTGTAGTTAGTATATTCCACAAATGAAAAAAATAGCATGAAATTTTTACACACACAAAAGATTTGAAATAAAGAAGGTGGCCACAAACTTGTTTTAAACGGGGAGAGAAAAAAAGAAGAGGGCTAAGCTGGGTGCTGGTGGCTCACGCCTGTCATCCTAGCTACTCAAGAGGATTGAGGTTCAAAGCCAGCCTGGGCAGGAAAATTCGTGAGACTGTTATCTCCAATGAACCACCAGAAAACCAGAAGTGGCTCTGTGGCTCAAAGTGGTTGAGTGCTGGCCTTGAGCATAAAAGCCCAGGGACAGCGCCCAGGCCCTGATGGATCAAAAATGGGCTAAGAGTTCTAAAAGGGGTGAATGTAACCAAAGAACATTATATATCTATGTGGAAATCTCAGGGTAAACTCTTCACATGATGGAAATGCTGGGATTATGTAAACGTTTCCTAATTATTAAAATCATCTCAACAAAAAATTATGGATAGGGAAATGACCAGAAACACTACAATATAACTGACAACGGATCATCCCAACAAAAGCATTGTGGAGAGGGGAATGACTAGGAACACGAACACCGGAGTCTACTAATGGTTGTGTTCTGACCTTACAGCTTCCTGCCAGTCCCAGTCATGCAGTGGTCGTGGAGAATGTGTCGAAACCATCAATAACCACACCTGTAACTGTGAGGCGGGGTACTACGGACCCGAGTGCCAGTTTGGTGAGCCGTTTCCTTTCTTTGTTTCTTCTGACAGTGCCACACATTCTATAACCCATGGTAGGAATTGGCTGGGGCAAACTGATACGAGCCACGCTGAGAAATGGGAAGTTTTGACCTGTTAGTTATGCTTTCACCCTGCTGCTCTCTTCCCATGGAGATTTCATAAGTCAGCATGAAGTTTCAATTCATTTCACAAGTTCTTTTTTTTTTTTTTTTTGAGTACCACAAAGAGCAAGGGGTTGAGTTAAAACCCTGTGCAAATGACAATAAAGAATCAGGCATGGAGAGTTGTAAAGTCAGAATGACATGGAGCCATTTACCATTAGGAAGTACGCTTGTTTGCTGACAGGCAGGGGCACACAGGAAAGCACATGGAATGATTCAGACTACAGATCAGAGAAAGAGAACGCATTTATTTGGGCTGGGTGTTTCAGGAGAAGACAAAGCAAATATAGATCTTGCCTTCAAAGGATGTACAGTTAATTAGAGGACATTACCTATGTTCATAATTGAGTTTGAAGGAAAGCAAGACACACTAGAGTATGCTGTAGAGATGAGGGAATGTGGAGGGAGGGAACCTGCCCTTCTCTAGGTTTGGCATTTAAGGCAAATGTCCTAGGAAAAGCACGTGAAAGAGCTCCTCATGAGTCCTGAAGTCATTCAGAACCATGGTGATAGAAATGGAAGGCACCCATTTAAAGTCTTGGACCCGGCCAACCACTACAAGAGATATCAAATCCTTTGAGTGGTGTTAGGCCAGATTTCAAAAGCATGAAGTATCTGGTGCATACAATAGAAAACCAATGCTTTTGTGACAAACAGTGCTTTTGAAGAATAAGGACTTGAGGCTAACATAGATCTAAATGTCAATCAGTTAAGATTTCATACTTCAACATTTAACCTTAGAGCCCTGAATCCCACCTGATACTTATCTCCAGTGTAGAACTCTAGTTTTCAATCTGTGGATCGCTGGTTTTCCCATTTCTCTAGGCACTGTAGCCCTATTTTTGCACTGGGTGGGGAGGGGCCGGAGGTGGTGCTTTCCTTCATCTCATTGTTTTCCGGTTCTCTTTCCACACAAGGAGCATTTCTCCCCTCGGTTCCTTCTTGGATGCTTCTCCAAGCCCATAAAGTAGTTTATTTCTCATCTTCTGTCTTTAGTCTATTGTTCTTCTGATTCTACATCTTGCCCTTGTGAAGGCTCACATAACTGTGAGCTTTTGATGGACAAATCTGTCATTAACAGTGTCCTTTGAGATGTTCTGTCGGTTCTAGCCAGTTCACCTTCTTTTTTCAGAATCTCATTACATGGAGCCAACTTTTACACGGGCACTCTGTCTGTGGTGAACCTCTCTCACCTCCCCCCGCGGTTTTGCAAGGAAATACACTATCAATTCATACACTCACTATTGCTCCAATTACTCTCCTACTTGACAGCCCCGTCGCTGCCCTCTTGATCTTTCTCCCCATTTATTACAGTAGTCTTCAACAAGAACGCCACAACTCATTCTACTGGCAGGCTGATGAACTAAAACATGTCATTTCTGGGTGGCAATTATCCCCTTAATTTGCATCTATCATTTGTCTTAGGGGATAAAATCTAAGTTCATCAAGATCTAGAGTAACGTTTGATAGATAGTAAATCAACGAAAAAGCCAGGTGCTTTGTCTTAGCTCCCATCTTCCTAGCCATGTCTTGCATCTTGCCTTTCCTCCGCTCGCCTTCTAATAATCCCCAAATACTTACCGTTCTCCACCACTCACACTGGCTTTGGATCCCCTTCTCTCTCATTACATATGGCTATCTAGTCATCTTGAAGACATGATTCAGAGACTTTTTTCCAGGACTGTTGTTTTGAATGTGTGCCTATCAAGTGGCAATGCTAGCATTCAAATCCATCAGGTCTTAACGCTTCCAACTCTGTTGCTTTGCTCATTGAAGTGGTCGAGTGTGAGCCTCTGAGCGCCCCAGACCTGGGCACCATGGACTGTGTCCACCCTTTGGGAAACTTCAGCTTCCGCTCCCAGTGTACCTTCCTCTGCACGGAGGGGACAGATCTAATCGGGGCTGAAGAGACCAGCTGTGGACCCCTGGGGAACTGGTCGTCTCTAGAACCAACCTGTCAAGGTGAGCAGCCCCACTTTAGATGGTGTATTGTGATACAATGCCAAGCAGATAAGAGAATGCAGGGAAGAAGTCTGCATCATTTCCTGGAGCTTAATTTAGCTTCACTTGCATTGCACTGTGATGCTTTTCAAAGAGGTTTGTGTTTTTTTTTCATTTTTCATTTCAAATTCATTGATTATGTGATACTAAGGAATTGAACCCAGGGCCTCATGCATGTTAGCAAGCACTCTATCACTGAGCCACCTTCCCAGCCCCAAAGAAGTTTATCCTCATTAAAATGAAAAAGAAACCTCCCAAACAGACAAACAACAAATTCTTCTTGGGCCATCTGACTATGTGAAAGATGATTTATAAAATATAATTTATAGAAAGGTAATTTATAATTTATAGCAATATAGTAGGGATTTTCTGTGTTTTTTTTTGTTTTTCTCAATGTCACGGCATCAATAATAAAGATTTGGTGAACCTCCACTGAATTTTAGATCCTGTCCTCTCAATAACACCCACTTCACGAGCTGCCCTACGTAAGGCCAGCGGTGTCCTTGGGGTGGGGAGCAGAGGTCCTTCCCAGTGGTTTTCTTTGGTATGTTCGCCAAGTCTTCTTTTATTTTTCCTGTCGTGTAAACTCTTAGGAGAATAATAACTACAAAAAATAACTACTACCAAAAATGGAAGAACCGTCTCCAGTTTTTTTTTTACTCACTTAAAATTCAGAGAAACTATCCTTTAGCTGCCAAAATAATTCACACATTGGAGAAAACATGGTTTATCTGTACTTATAAAGTTTTGATCACACTTGCTACATTTATGCGCCTGCTTCACAAGTTTCTATAGTTTGTCTCAAAAGAAATGTCAGCATTCTTTACTGAAACCATAGAGCAAATTTGACCCACTCACTGAATGGAACCAATCTTGGGCCTGCTTCAGAGACAAGATACTTTTCAGGGCAGCTCAGGTAGGCTTTACCATGGATAAACAAGTGGAAATCATCACCGTTCACTGGAAAGAATCAGGAGCAAACTTGCAGGAAACGTGTGCCACTTCCGGCAGAGCTGGGAGTCACCAGGCTGGGGTGAGAGACTGAACGGCCCCCCGGGGCACTGAGCCTTCTCGGCTGGCTCCTCCCCAGCTCAGCCAAACCATCAAGAAAATGAAGTCCGAAAGCATGGTCAGGGGGCATTTCCACAAGTTGGGAATTTCTCAGTTCTTCTTTTCTTTATTCCTGAACTTATATTAAGACTTTTCTAGCTCTTCTCTATGTGTCAGAGTACTAAACACTGAACAAGTCCAGGAGCTAGACACATGGTGACTACCTTTTGCTAAGATCTTTAGACACAGCCCCGAGAACCCCAGCAACCCCAGATCTGAGAGCTGAGATGACGTTTCCAGCACAGGCTGGTGAAGTCTTTGCTGTAGACGAATTGTGGGCTCTCCACGTATAACCAATTTCCCTTGGTCAAACAGGAGATGAGGCATCAAGTCACCTCTTGTTGGGAGACATGAGAAGGAAATAAATCTCTACGGCTAAGGAAATGGTGTTTCTGGTCTCACGCTCTGCACCTCGCTGATTTCTGTTTCAGAGACAGGCCGGAGTTTCTCAGTGACCAAGGAAGGTGGCTATAACCCCCTCTTCATTCCAGTGGCGGTCATGGTCACTGCCTTCTCTGGACTGGCATTTATCATTTGGTTGGCGAGACGACTGAGCAGAGGTATGTGAGTTTAATTTCTTGTGAAAATGAAACAACTTTAAAGCAAAAAAATGAAAAGAAAGAAAACCCACAGGAAACTCGAGCTGCATAGAATCAACGGCAGCAGGTGCCAAGCTTTGTGTTTTATAGATTCCGGTGCCTGCAGACATGTAAATCAGCTCGATAAAACGCCTTCATTAAAAGAGGCCAGACAATGTTTGATTTTCGTTAGGCAAACCTTTTTAAAAATGCCTATTGTCTTTAAGTTACCTTACTAGGGTGATAGCCAAATTAGGCATTCTAATTGTTCTTGGCTTTTAAAAAATTCTGAAAGAGAAGGAAAAACACATAATGTCCATCCTCTACAAGACTATGTGCTGGGCAGGTGCCAGTGGCTCATGCCTGTAATCCTAGCTGAGAAGGCTGAGATCTGAGGATTGTGGTTCAAAGCCAGCCTGGGCAGGGAAGCCCCGGAGTGAAGCTGTGGTTCAAGTGGTAGAGCACTAGCCTTGAGCAACAAAGCTTAGGAACAGTGCTTAGGTTCTGGGTTCAAACCCCAGGATGGACACACACACACACACACACACACACACACACACACACTCACTAGTATAATTTTTCTAAGATATGAACCAAATGTCCACTAAGCTGTTCACAGAATTGCTCTTAAGTACTTGACCTTGTGAAGCGTCAACTACCTGTGCAGTTCCTACATGTAAGAGCAGCGCTGTCCCTGGCAGAAATCCGCAGGCACCCTTCCTGGTAGCTTGTTCCCAAGGCCAAGGGCACCTCGGATACTTGAGGGATGTCTTGGGAAGTTACTTTCCACTACCTAGGTTGGAGATGGAATCCTGCAAAGAACACCCTCTCCTGCCCGCTTCCCCTGAGAGGGTTGGTGCAGCCGCAGCCTTCCGCAGGATTGGATTTTCACTCCCACCTTTGGTCGGACTCAGGAGGCAGACCCATTCGAAGCTGTAGAAGTCACAGATATTGGGCAGCTGTTGTGGGACCCCTGTTTTCAGGAGAAGATGATGGATGACCTCGAAGCTATTGCTAAGCAATCCTTCGGAGCCATCTGCCTGTGGTACCAGTTGATTGTCGTTTAGGTGCCCCTTCCATTAGATTAGCATGTATTTTGTCCACTGACTATGCGGGTCCCCGGCTGTGTGTCCTGGCAACTGCAGGGATGTACTTAGCCTGTCCACAATGAGCTAGCACCGGGGTCTGGTCCTTCATTCTAGCCTGAAAACTGGAAGTGTCAGATTAGCTTTCTAACCAGCCTAGAAAGACCATGGAGAAGCCATTGAAGAGGAGCAAGAACTTTACTAACTGTAACCTAAACACACTGAGCCGTGAAAATGTCTGCCCTGGCTCTGAGAGAACTTCTGTGGCATTTGGATCCCGCCATGATAGAGTACTGGGTTCCTAACAGCAACTTCACTGGTGCGAAAGAGGAATGGCACATCGTTCTTGCCATTGATTTACCTTTCTTTCCCTTGAGACTTTAAGGCTGGAACCCAACTTTCCTTGGATGATTATGGCAGAATTCAGGGGGTGGAGAGCAAAGTGGGTGATCGCATATTAATTACACATGGGGATAAGCTATCGCAATAACGTCAAGGATTTGGGGGCTGAAAGTCAGCTTAATAAGGAAGATATTTATCCCAGATTCATACCCTTCAATAAATAGTCATAGCACCAAAAGACAGAATGGAAGTCACATGTATTTAGAGAAGTCTCACGGGTGAAGGCTGTTTGATAAGCAGTGTAAGAAAAGAAGTAAGGTTGTTTTTAGTTTTTTTTTTTAGCCTTGGAGTCATTTCTGTACAAGATCTCAAACTGATAAGTTGAGAACCCATGCCCCTACTGTGGGAATCAGTGTGGGGCAAACAGGAAACAGATAACGGGCATGTAGGCTATTTACAGTTATGCCAGCAATGAGAACACACTCCCCAAGATCACCAACTGTGGCAGGAAAGCTGGGGTCACATGAAAGCCACATTTAAATCGTCTACCAATATTTCCAACTTGCAAGCGATTGGCCTTGTGTTCTAACACTTTTAGTTGTACTTGGTTCTTAAACACAGGAACAATATCTTTTTTTTTTCTATAGACACAATGTCAGAAATGATCCTAGGGCCCAGGCTGTACTCCTACTGGGTTAGTTGATGCGTTTACAAAGATAAAGGGAAAAGTAATAAACCTGTAAATACACATATACCTCTGTTCTGAGAATTTGATCTTACTTTTTGCTGCTGATCCAGGCTTGAACTCAGGGCCTGGGTGCTGCTGCCCTTGAGTTTTTTTTTTCTTTCTGTTTTTTTTTTTTGTTTTTGTTCTACTACTTGAGCCACAGCTCCATTTCCAGCTCTCTCTCTCTCTCTCTCTCTCTCTCTCTCTCTCTTTTTCTCTCTCTCTCTCTGTAATTAATTAGAGATGAGTCCCATGGACTTGCCTGCCTGGGCTGTTTTCGCACCAAGATCCTCCTATCTCAGCCTCCCGAGTAACTAGCATTATAGGTCTGAGCTAATTGGGGCTCAGCTGTTCTGAGAATTGTCCAGAAAGCTGGAGAAAGGGAGCAGGTGACATTTTAGCGCATGATGGCCCTGATCTTTTATTAGATGAATCCTTGGAACCTGGCTCTAGGGCACCTATCCCAGCAATCTTCATATCAGACATCAACTCCCTTCTCCCAGGCTAGGAATAAGGGAGAGTTCCAGAAACACATTCCCCTGGTCATCGGCTCCACCAAAACCACTTTGTATTCCAGAACCATCTTTCTCTGAGTAGTCACTAACATTGGGTCTGTTTGGTAAAAGAGTCAAACAGCATGTACCCTAGACGCTCTTGTCTTCAGAGTCAGAAAATTAGCTCCCCACCCCTTTGGTTAGAGGAATTTTCCACTTGAACCAACATATAGGGTAGAAGAAGGCATGAAACTGAACATATGCCCCCTTGGTTCCCTTTTCTTCAAGAAGAAACCTCCTCAGTAGGAACAGAGTTTTGCTTATACATTATTATGGGTTTCATTGTCCCTAAAAGAAAAACAATGTTTCTGTGAAGATAAACTTGACTCTTCTGGGGTCTCAGCTTATGCCACCAGCAGGCAGAATTTTGGCTGAAAGATTTTACACAGTAATTTCTAACACTAAAGGATTAAAACGGAAATTGGGTACAAGGTCTAGGCTCTGGCCTACAAACTTTGAAATACATTTCCTTTTGTCAACCCAGTAAGGAAGATGGAATTGCTATCACCTTTAGCAGAGGAAGAAATTGTAGTTTACAGAAGAGAAGCAACTAGTTCAAAGACAGGTCCCAGCCTCCAGGTGCCCAAACAGGGCTTTCATCCGAGTGGAAAGTTCAACGTTCAGCCACGGAAATAATTCTTTCTACTTCAAGAGCTTTTCCTGCTTTTATTCTTCTTTTATGTTGCTTTCCTATAGACCCCAATTCTCCAGCTCATTTCAAAAAGGATGTAAATTCACAAAATCCATTCAAAATGATAACTTCATCTAAAAAGCCAGAAACAGTCAACTTTTAGGGGCCACCTCTGGTCCTCTTACATACCTAACACATGCATATTTCAAAAGACAGATGGGTGGGTAGAAACCTCCTTTCTCCCTTACATCAAGATGAAATTGCCTGCTTTCCACTAATTGCATTTTTCGTTTGTATTTTTAGGCAAGAAATCTCAGGAAAGGTAAGTTTTGCCAGTGAGGCATTTCCATGTGTCGATTCTTTCTCTACTTTCCTTAATATGCTTCCTGTTATAGCTTAATCCCAAAGTAGATGCAATTAATTAATTTTACAAAGGGGGGGTTCATCGAAGAAAAGTATCCAGGTACAGTAATAAGTCCCTTGCCTCCCTTAAACTATTTTTTGTACTAGTGGAGCTAAATAGATGAATATATGAGTAATAATCTGTTAGGAAAGATCAGTTAGCCAGAAGGGAAGTTTTACTGATTATCCTCAAAATTCCTTTTCAGTTTTTATTAGCATATATCATATGTACAAGGGGGAGGTTTTATTATGACAGTTCCATACCTGGGTGCAATGTATTTCAATCAATATGTTCATATACTTTCTTTGAGGGTTCAAAGCATTCTGTTATATTATTTCTTGGCCTGGCTGAAAATACCTCCAGGACCTATACATATGAATCAAGGAGTATTTAATTCCACAAGAATCTACTGAGAATGTACCCCAGACACGAAGAATGAATCCCTCAATGCCTAATGCAAAAGGGTAAATGACTCCTACTCTGCTTCAGCAGCATGGAAACGGGGGCACGCATGATTTCCAGATACCACTTCCACCAAAAAGGCACTTAAAAAAAAAGCTTGGCCTTGAAACCCAGATTCTTTCGTTGGCGTAATAATGCAGACTAGCCAGATGGAATGCAGACACAGGAAAGTACCTGATCCACCTGACAGAAGTGAACGTGGGAAAATAGTTCAGTTTTGTGACTCGCTTTGAAACGTATGGGAGTTTAAGTAAAAAGAACTATGGAGACGACACGTCTTGGGTGGTGTGCTGAGCACCCAGCCAGACAGCTGTGCCCCTTGGAAAGACGTGGGTAGGTGTCTGGAGAGGGCCAGTCTGAGTTCGGACAACATGCTAGCCACGGCTGTCACTGAGAAGATCTCAGTGGAGTGGGCTGAGCTCAGAATGCAGCAGAGAGGGGCTGGGAAGGTGGCTCAGTGGTAGAGCGCTTGCCTTGCATGCATGAGGCCCTGAGTTCAATTCCTCAGCACCACATAAGCAAAAAGAAAAAAAAAACCAAAAAAGAATGCAGCAGAGAAACGGAGGGAGATGAGCCAAGGAAGCCTTCTACTGGCCCCAGGAGAGTACAGTAAGCCTGTCTTACTTATTTATGGGTTTATTATGTGTAGCTGTTTTGGTGGTAAATTTTGTTTTAGTCACATGAAGCCTCAAAAACAAAAGAAAGGTAAATTCCTGCATCACACAGCTCAGTTGCTGCCACGAAGCTCCGAGTCGGTCCCGAGGCGTCACCAGCCAGGTTTCAGTTGTGTGGTACAAGGGAATCAGCAAGGACACGTCTTTAGATGGGAAACAGCGGAAAACCCGCTGAGGCAGAATGTGGCTGTCCTGCGTGCGCGGCCCAGAAGAGAGCGGAAGGGAGCAGGGGCGGGATAGCACTAGAGCCCTTCCATCCCTTCTGCTCTATCTTGCCCTCGTTTGTTACCCCATCTTCTCTTCATAGCACAGATGGCGTCCTTGTAAGAAACGAGTCTGTTTGAGGGGGGGCTGGCCTCCGCATCTCCCTGAAGAAAAACTACAAGATGTAAAGCCTAATTCCCTGCTCTTACCCAGCGAGGGGAGGTTTTCTGGCACTATGTACCCAAAGCTGTTTTCTGCCCACGGGAACTGCACGCTGTCCTTGCTCCAAGGTGGAAGCAGCTCACTTCATCCTTTTAGGTGCCTTGAGGGTGCAGGAAAAGACGGGGTCTGGACGCATATGAACACTAATTTAATAACCATATCGGGCAAACAGCCATAGCATGGCTAGCGGCTCACTGGTGTTTACGCGAATCAGGTTATAGCTGATTACCCATCACCTGTAAGCTGGAGAGCTCAGGGCTCTCGACTCCTAGGATACAGTTCTAAGCCCCAGAAGCCTTCTTCCCAGTTATGTGAATTTTTTGTTTTTGCTGTTTCACACCAAACCATTGTGTTACTGAGGTTACTGAGGAAGGGAGGGGGAGCAGAAATAGAGTATGCTTCTAGAACAAGCCAAGGTAGGATGAAACACTATCACACTAAATTCTATGTGTCAATTTCTGAAGCCCTTGAGCTCGTTTTCATTCCTGTGAGTTTTTGGCTGGTGAATGAATGACTTTTGGGGCATCTGTGGTTTTGATTCTTGCCGGCTATTTTGACTTTTGCAAACTGGTTCTTCTGTTTGTCACCTCATTTGCTTCTACTGTCTAAATTTCACCTGGGTAAAAGTTACACCCAAGATACACAGGAAGATACGATGCCAACCTCAGGGCAGGGCATTCGTGAGATTCTACTTTCAGAAACTTTTTTTAAAGCTCTAAATTGGCAAACAGGTTTGCAGCTGCTACACTGTGGTTTTCCCTGATTGTTCATCACCAGACCAGAGCTATAGAATCTGGTTCTATGTTTGAAAAGTGCTAAGACAAAACAAACTTGATTTTCCTTTGTCCTTTCCAAGAATGAGACAATTGAAACATACAAAAAAAAAAGACATTTTTCATTAAATGAAATTTGTCACTGTCTCACTAAATTATATTCTAGAAGAATTAGGCATTTAGAACTACAATCATTCTTTTCATGAGTTTTGATTTTCTCTGGTTTCACTTTCCACTTGTCTCCTACTGCCTCAGTTTTCCACTGTTCAAAGTCAGTATACAATCTATCTCAAAATCAATAGCTCTGGGAAAAGTGCTGGTCACAGATACTTCACCAACTGTGGCTATGGGCTGAAAATCCCAGGTACCAATCAGACTTTGAAGCAGAGTTTGAATTGAAACTTACATTTTCTCAGTAGTAGAACATGCAAATAAATGTAAGAAGGGCCACTGCAGGACCCTCTTCCCTTTTGCCTTAGAATGTTTTGCTTCCTGTCCAAAATTCCCAGGAGAACACATTCCCTTGCTTCTAACATGTTATTTTTCTTACTAACACTTTAAGCTTGCAATTTGCTCCATTATCACCTTTGGGAAAATGCCTACTTTTACTGCTCACAGTTTTCATGTTTGCAAACTTCAATTGTTTTTGAGCTCCTGGGCTTAATTTGCAATCTCTTGCTTTTCTTTTAGGATGGATGACCCATACTAGTCTGTCCATGGTGAAGGAAAATTCTTAAGCTACTAGAAAAATCACTGGGAAATGACTTCAAATCTTTCCACGATATCTTGTGAAGAGAAAGTGTTTCCTTCTGCGCACTTGGGACGATTTCTTCATGACGAACAGCCCCTTCTGCTCCCCTTTGGACCTTAATTCATTCTCCTACTCACAACCCACAGTTGATGTTACATAGCTCTGTTTTTCATCATCTTTTCTAGGGAGAAACAAATGAGACCAGACTAGAAAGGGGGGGGAAAGATTTCTATGGAATATAAAGATGTCTAACTTTGCTCTTTCCTATTTCTTATTTCAAGTGCCATTTCAATAATGTATTCGATAATAAAGGTTATTATGATCCTGTATATAACATGACATTGCTTTATTCAGTGAAATAAATGTAGTTCCCCCCCCCCCCCCCAACTGTGCCTTTCATGCTTCCTTAGCAGAAGATTCTGAAGGTTTTCCCAGAGCTAGAGCAAAAGTAGCTCTCAGGCCTTCTCCTGAGGTTAGACTGAAAGATGTACTGGCTGAAGAGAGAAGCAGGGACGAAGTGCCATAGAACAGCTTTAAATCCAGACCAAAGCTTCTGAAGTTTATGCACTAGTGTCTGGGAAAAACTTGAGCAAGTGAGGACAGGATCACAACAGAATTCGAGATTAGGAATTGGGCAGAAATGGAAGCAGAGACACTCATTCATTAAGGTAACTGTTCAGGCAAGCAGATTCCACTGTGAGACATCGCGAAGCGTTTGCGTCTGACTAGCTGGGGTGGGGGAACGGGGCGTCTCAGGGAGTGGACCAAAGCCCTCAGAAAGGAAAAAACAAAATCAAACAAAAAAATCTGGTTAAATATGGCTTATGCAAATATTCCTTTTTCAAAGATCTTGTAGGAAAGTCCCTCCTTTGTTATTTTTCCTCTGATTGAATTTATCTCCTTTATTCTTTTTTTTTTTTTTTTTGGTCGGTCATGGGGCCTGAACTCTGGGCGCTGTCCCTCAGCTCTTCAGCTCAAGGCTAGCACCTACTGAGCCACAGCGCCACTTCTGGCTTTTTTGCTTATGTGGTGCTAAGGAATCGAACCCAGGGCCTCATGCATGCAAGGCAAGCGCTCTACCACTGAGCCTCCTTCCCAGCCCCTCCTTTATTCTTAATATAGGAGCCACACAAGGATATTTACAAAGCGTTTGTAAATGCAAAGTAGAAAAAAATCTGGGAATGGGAAAAAGCCTCAGCTTGAAAATGCTGTTAGAAATGAGATCAATCCCAACCCATTAAAGGCAAGTAATCTGAATGTAGTTGTAGTCTCTTAAGTGAAATTGTGGTAAGAGACCCTAGGGTAGAAGGCAGGGACCCTCCGAAAACCTCTGTCCATGGGCTCATGCGTGGACTACGTGACTGGTTTCATGTGGATTTAGAGCAAACGGGCAGAATGCATATTTGATGATGGTATGACCTACACAATTATTACATTTACTTCTGGAAAATTCTTTATGAATGTTAGAGAAATCAGCATGTCCTTAGAGACCACATACGCAAAGCAATTGTTTCCAAATCTTCTACTATAGGAATATTTATTAACGTTAAAACCATTGACGGATAGGAGTGACATTTTACAGCCTAGTATTTGAGAAAAATACAGGAACTAGGTCCCTGGTCCTGTCATGCTCTGTGACTTCCCAGAGACAAGTTTCTGTCGCATAAGTGAAATCTTACAGTAGACAGTGCACGTGAGACAGAGGTGACCTGTAGTCGAGAACAAACAATACATTCACGGGGAATGAATGAGTTGCTCACATGTTTTGCTCACAACTGGCACTCTACCACATCTTGACTTCATGTTTTCTGCTGTTTAACTGGAGATAGGATTCTTGAGGATGTATCTGTAATAGGCTGGCTCAGAACCACTATCCCACATCTCAGCCTCCTGAGTAGCTGGGATTACAGGTTCTAGCACCAGCACCCAGCTTCCATCAGGATTCTCGCTCTTCTCTGCTCCTCCTTAACAAACTTCTTCAGTCACTCCTGTTATAATAGTGTTGTATATTCTTTGTTGTCCCTTTTTGTGTGAGGGATGTGTGATAGGCAACTCGATTCAGCTATCTCGCTGATATTTCCATTATTCTCATTTTAATATAAAAAAGGATCAAAGACCAGGGGTCAGCGGTTCATGCCAGCCAACCTTCACCTCTTAGAGGGCTGAGACAGGAAGGATTGCAATTCCTGAGCCAGCATGGGTAGAAAAATCCAGCAAAAAGCAAGGCCAGAGGTGTGGCTCAAAGTAGTAAAACTCATCTGAACAAACTAGTTGAATGGGCCCTAGGCCTTGAGTTCAAAGACTAGCAGTGCAAAAAAGCAAACAAGCTATAAACTCAGAGCCTAAGTTTAGCTCAAGCCTTTGAAACTCCAAGTTCACGCTCCTCTAAATTCCAATAAAGGTTAAAGTCAATTCCTTGAATGTACAAGTTAGTGTCGTGTTTGTCCTATGCTCATGTACCATTCATTCAGCATCTACCACTCAGAGCTAAAGAACAGCTGTGTGCTAGGTGTGCTAGGCCCCATTTTTTGCCTCTGGCTTCAGTGCAGTCACGTTTCACTGAACGGTGGTACACAGGTCAGCATGGAATCACAGAGTCCAGGGAGAGTCTCTCGTGTGGATGAGCAACTGATGAATCACAGTCTCATCAAACCAACAGGATATTTGGCAATGACAAGGTGCCAAAGAGGAAAAGTGAGTATCTTGGCAAGCTCCCTGGGTTCACCCTAGTCTGCCCTTGCAGTTAGTGGCTTTGTCCAGTGGCATCTCCCCATTGTTGCTCCTCGGTACATGAATCAGGACCTCAAACCCCAAAATTTCCACCGGACTTCATTCCGGGCATTATCTTCCCATGTTTGGAAAACAGTGATTTACTACACACAAGGGCAGCTGGGGAAATCTGTAGGGCCTGGCCAGGAAAGCCCAGCACACAACTTGCGTTTCAATAGAGCAGGAAGGGGAAGTGGGCCTCTACGCTCAGGGAATCTTGCCCAACAGTGCACTGCCCTCCTTCCTCCCCCCACCCCCGTTTCATCTTCCTCCTGCTCTGAAGGGCTGGCACACCCCACACACTGCGGAAATGCAAACCCCAAGCAGCAGACACTGCACCCCTTACCAGGGACAAGTTTTCAGTACTGCCAGCTTCTGTCAAAATTTTTTCTTTAAACATTCAAATATTGGTAGAGGTATTGGCAGTGCTTTGGGGTCATGGAAGCCAACCACGTCTGTCTGTACCTGTGCCACTGAAGAAAACACTCTGATGATACGTCAAGAGGGATCAAAGCCAAATTTAAAACATAAACTGGGGCTGGGAAGTTGGCTCAGTGGTAGAGCGCTTGCCTTGCATGCATGAGGCCTTGAGTTCCATTCCTCAGCACCACATAAGCAGAAAAAGCCAGAAGTGGCGCTGTGGCTCAAGTGGTAGGGTGCTAGTCTTGAGCTGAAGAGCTGAGGGACAATGCCCAGGCCCAGAGTTCAGGTCCCACAACTGATAACAATAAATAAATATACTTCTTGAATGCCAGACTAATGACGTAGTGAAACCATTTTGTTCAGGGAGGATTATAAGAGGTCCTTCCAGAAGAAAGTAGAAGTCTAAAATAAGTCTGCAGTTTACTGGATCTCTGGAGGGTTGAATGCACACTGATAATGCGCTTATCCTATTACCCCTGTAATGAAGGACAGTTTATTATTGTTTTGCTGTTGTTGTTTGGTGGTACTGGGGTTTGAACTCAGAATCTTGTGCTTGTGTTTGTCAAGTATTTATCTGGCTTTTGAAGCAGATACTCTGGACTCAGAATATTTGACGAATATTTTATACCATTTTTTTCTCTAGGAAATGTTAAATATATTTGTAAAAATCTGTTTGCTTTGTTTTTAAGTATTGGTGGAATTCATGTATAAATTATCTGAGACTGATGTCTTATTTGTGGGCCAGTTTTAATTCAAATCCATCCATCCTTCCTTCCTTCCTTCCTTTTTTCCTTCCTTCCTTCCTCTCTCTCTCTCTCTCTCTTTCTCTGTCTCTGTCTCTGTCTGTCTGTCTGTCTCTCTGTCTGTCTGTCTGTCTGTGTCTGTCTCTCTCTCTCTCTCTTTCTCGAGTCCTCATGTTTGCCGGGCAGGTACTCTTAACTATTGAACCATGCTTTCAGTCCTGGTTTTTGATAATTATTTTTTAGGTAAGGTCTCCCTTCTTACCTTGATGTGTTAGGCTGCTACATAGTTGGGATTCGTGGTTCACCACCACCTCAGATCATTGTTGAGACGGGTCTTGTGAACTTTCTACTCAGTCTGGCTTTGAACCATGATCCTCACAATTTCAGCCTCCGAGCTAGCCAGGGCGACAGGGGCACCGGAGCTGGTCTCTGTTCATTTTTTATGGCATGAAAATGAGAACAGCTGTGGCACCCACGCTAGCTGGACATTTTCCCATCACTTGTTCCCCACACAGAGAGATGCAACAGCGAAGACACAGGAGTGTGACCATGGGGTGGCTGAGGAGCCTGCCAGCGCAGCAGGGAAGCGAAAGACACCGAGGGAGCTTGAGAACTCCACAGCTCCAACGCGCCGGCCTCCTCTGCATTCCGTGTCAGACCCAAACCGAGGCAGTGTCTTCTCATGGGGAGAAGGTACTTGGGAGAGCCCCATGGGTCCCCATTACAGAAGACTCCTGGAACCCTCACAGCCCTCCCCCTTCCCCCAGACCTCGGCCCCGAACGTAGAATGGTGGTTTGATCCGCAGCCACGGCTGCATTGCTGCAGAGTTCACCTCCCTCTCTGTGACCTTCGTTGCAAGCTTCAGCCCTGTCCTGGGAGTGGACCCCCTGTCAGAGCACTTCACCCCGAAGCTGATGTCCAGGCAAATCTCCAATCGTCAGGCCATTCACACAGACCGTGTCTGCACCAACAGCTCCTGCTCTGTGAGCCCAGCTACTTGGGGCCAGAGCCGAGCAGAAAGTCCTGGCTTCCAAATCCCTGTAGCTACCTCTTCCACAACAAGGAAGAGTGCCTACTCGAAGGGAGGCTGACACAGAGCCAGAGGCTTGCATGTGGTGTCCCCTGGCTACAGCCAACCAAGCAGCAGCTCTGTTCCCTGCCGAGATCACCGAGAGCACATCCCCTCCAATGACCTGCGGTGCTGCTGCGCACCCTGCCACCGGCCCAACATCCTTCCCAGGGGCACCCGCCCCCGGCGGGCACTGTACAACTGGCACACCTGTGTCACAGTGTGCATCCTAACCCCACGGCAGCAACTGGCCAGCTTCAGAGCCCTGCCAGCCATGGCTCCATCCACCAGAGAATCTCCCCTAGGTCACTGGCCTGCACCACC